AATGGGGGGAAAGGGGGAACCGAGCATCCTCAGTATGAAGGCGCATGCGTCTGTCGCCGGCTGGCCTACGCGGATGCGGATACGGCGGACGGTTCTGTTTGGCGGATTGGCTGCCACTCCCTTCCCGTTTGTCGTGAGTGGGATTCATTAGTATGGGGAGGGGAGGGGGGGGGGGGGAAGATTGAAAAGCATCCCGTACTTTGGCCCCCCTGCCCACGCTCGGGAAACTCACTGTGCTGCGTACCTCCGCCGGTTCTCGCACTTGCAGGACTGCGTCAGGCATGCCTGCTGTGTTAAGCATGCTTGCTGGACTGTGTTAAGCCTTTTCCCGATGAAGGCAACGATGGTCCGTGGGTGGTCCAGGGCGACAGGAGCGAAACGCGACCGGGTCGACACGGAAACGTGAGGCTAAGCCAGCCGCGTTCCTGTTCGAAGCCATTTTTACCTGCAGTGAATTAATTTGTAGGTTTCATACCGAACTCATCCCGTGAGCGAAAACTTCAGATCTGAATTCGACCGATGAGTTGCATCGAGTGGCGCATTCAACCGAGTTATATTATATCATTATGTTATTTCATTAGGGTATATCATATCATGATGTTATATCGAGTGGCGTAAAAAAAAAACAGTTCCTGTTTGACGCTTTATAAAACCCTCTATCTATCATCAAGGTTCTTGATATTTTTTCTTGTCGCATGGGAAACGCTACAAAATGTTTCTCCTGAATGTTTCATGAAAAGTGACTTGTCATTCAAAGCGGAGTCGTAAAATGTACCTTTTGAGGCGGATGGAGTTTCAGCACTAAAATTTCTCTCCCTCGACGCCATAAAGGCTGCTTTTATGTCCTCGTCGTAGAATCCCACGTAGTATCAATTCTGACGCCACGACGAGGACGTGCCATAAAATCCAACCTTTATGGCGGCAAAGGAGGGAAACCCTCTTTGTTTGACTTAACGTTCGGACAATCTAGAAATGTGGAACTTTAGAAAACAGATTTTGTTGTTTCCAACGTGCCACGAAGAAACGAAGAACCTAGACAAGACGCAGCGAGTTTTACGAACGCGACGCTTTTTGCGTCACCTCTCCTCGTGTGATCTCGGAGTTGCAAACCACGCAAGTCAGCGACCTGATCCGACCTGGACGTTATTCGACAAGATTCTGCAATTTGAATATGCATTGGATTTAATGCCAAAAAGATTTTAAGAGAAAATAGAATGAAACCCACAGCGTGGAAAACGTCAGAATCCGCAGAACTTTTTAAAATTTTATTTGGATCGTTCTTCCGTAGACCTCAGCCTTTCCGTCCGCTGCCGGACTTGCACCCTTTGCCTCGACCCTTGACCTTCGTGCGAGCGTCGTGGGGCGTCACGGAGGTCTTCCGACGACTGGAGGCTCCCTTCCCTCACGCCGGCTCTCTGATGAACCGCGTGGCGGACGTGCGTGCGTCGGCGCAGACGGAAGGGAAGGATCGTTTTCGCCGATCTTCGGTTTTTAGACGGCTTCGTTCGGCGTGCACATCTGTCGTAGAAAGAACTTTCTGCATCCCCTGACGCGAGGATCTGTGCCATGTGGAAAATGAGTCGAACGAAATGCATTTTTGCCACAGATACTGGGCACTCTTCCGGCAGAAAGTGTGACGTCACTTTGGCTTGTCCCAGGCGCCTGCGAAATATATCTGATGCTGCACTACGTGGCAGAATCATTGGCTTCTGCCAGCTCGCAACTTCCAAGTTTCACCCGACCGTGTCCGAACGGCGGGGTTCGTTTAATTGAAAATATTCGAGCTTTTGTGGCTTTAAAATTTCCGAGTCGTGTCCGATGATGGGAAGCGCCAAGCAGTCGGAATTCTTTTTCGGCTTGGGCCGAAAGTCGGTACGAACCATAAAGGGCATGCTAGCAATAAGTCTGCTAACGTAATAGTGAAGCCCCTTCACCCCATGAAAATCCAGTATACGCCACCAGTACTGCAATTAAGAGCGAATCGAATCATGTGGTTTCACGTGGAGCCGTTGGATCTGATGCAATGCTGCACAGCATGGATGCCATCTACCGAGAGGTATTGGAACTAACGATGCTGACGTGTGGACAATGGAGACGGAGAAAGTAGTCGAAAACATCATGGCGGCTGAGCACATTGTGATTTCTCTCGTCGCTGCACTTCCAATTCATATTCTGATTCATTCGACCAATTATTTTGATCCATGTTGGCTCACGTATTCTTACCCTGTTTGGTTCTTGCCAGCCAGTTGAAATAACCCTAACAATAGGTCTTTGCAACGGACTTCTCTCATTTGCGAATTTCACGCTTGAAGAGACACTGATGTTAGACTTATGGTAGGCCTAGTAGAATCATGTTAGGATATTTTGGTTAGGTTAGCCCTGGAGCCCTAATATCCGTTGGCCTCTTGTGCTTTTTAGGATGTTAGTGCAGGTAAGCTGGCTGTCGATGATGCAGGTGCTTACCTAGAATAGCAAATAAAACTGATGTTTTAGTCTTGGGGCTGTAGGTAGGTATTAGCTATTATATGCTCATCAGCCAAAGTTCACCATCCACCCCAGAAGCATATCTCGAAGCCATTTCTCATGCACAAAATCAAGTGTTACATGGTGGGTAGTATTAGAAAACCCTAAGCTTAAATGGAAACAAGGTGGAAGTATGTTGCTCAGGCAATCGGAAGACAGCAACCAATGTCAATGGGTGAGTTTCTGGTTAGAATTGCTTTCAATATTGACTTGTACATAAATGAAGCAAAACCTGGGTCAAAAATCAATCATGAACAGCAGCCCATGATGCTTTGCCTACCTTGTTAAACACTTCATGCTTGACATAAATTCCACCATGTCCAGTCAGCCACTGTAGTGTTGATGGGCAAAAGCCAAAAAATGAAAGTTTCCCTAACAAGTTAATTAGTGCCCAAGTATTACTAAATTATTCAGATATTTACGTCAGGCCCTGAGGTGACCAAACATTGGTTATCCTTTGTTATGTGGACACTGCACACTGCATGAACACTCTCCCACAATGTAGACTTCATCTTGTTTACATTACTCCCCTGTATTCACCATGCATTGGGTAGACCTATTAATCTTCTATGTTTGATGGCATATCTCAAAGGGACTTGACATCGCTCTGACATCTTAGGATCAGGACTGGATTAAGAGGGGGGCAAAGGGGGCAGTTGCCCCAGGCCCCACTCTTCCAGGGGGCCCCCGAAGGAAATTAAAAATGTTAAGTACAAAAAAAGTATTGTATTTGTGTAAAGTAGCAGAGGGGGGGAGTCCCAGGAATTTACTTGTCCTGGGCCTCGCAACTTGATCTGGCCCTGCACTTGATCTGGCCCTGCTCAGGATGCATGTGGGAGATATGTCAGGAAAACCAGACTCAAGATCGCTTGATCTTGAGAAACAGCTTGAATTGGAGAATCTCATGGATAGCAAAACTCAACCAACTGAACCTCTGGGACCATGCAGAGGGAGAATCTCCCCTTCAAGCTGCTTCTCTGGATTGATAGGTCCTAAATCAGTTTTCCTGACATGGCTTCCACATGCACCCTGAGATAAACTCAATGATGTCCATGAAGACCAACAGAAAAACAATTGGCAGGCAATGGTGCAGCACTCCTCTCCAAGGCTTTGGCAGGAGTCCTGGGCCCGCTTGAACAGCAACTACTTGACCATTACATACATGGTAACGATAATGTCCATGTGAAATAGTTTCTATTCCCATTGACCTGCCTACAAATAAGGACATTGAGGCTCCTGCCAGGGAATTTCATGAAATCAGGTTTTTGGGGGTGTTTTGATTCATAAAACTTAGTAAGAACTTGAGATTCCAATAATATTGGATGTGTCTTACATGTAAAGAGGACATCAGTATCCCAAAGTGTGCACTGAATAGGGAGGTGTATACTAGATGAAGTTGGCATTGCCTAGGTGTTCACATAACAAAGGATCCTTCAAACATTTCCCCATAAATAGGAGAGGTGAGATGATGATCTGGGCATGTTGCACGTTTTGACCTTGCTTGATGTATTCATGGTGGTTTCTATTTCAAAAATTTTGCCTTCTTAATGATTTTCTGCTCATGTAAGCCTCTCTCTTGGTTCAGGTCATGGTCCTTTGCTTAATGTCAGTGTTAGAAAAAAATTTTGCCTCATTTTCTCATTGTTCAATGCATCTAAGACAGTTATAATTAGTTCTTTTGTCACTGATGCAAGTTTAATTGAATAAGAGACGAAATAAAGTCTTAGATATTGAAACCTCTGTTAATGAGTCAGCTCACTCCCTTTGGATTGATTATCTAAATACATTTCTATGTGAATTCATTAACTTGGGTTTTTCCTACCCCTTTTGGCAACACCACATATGCTTAACCTCACTCTAGTGGCCTTAACTCTTGAAGAACTGTACAAAGTTTAATAGAGGCAAGCAACATGCTTGGACTAAGTTATTAGTTTTTTTTTTAGCAGTTCACTTACCAAAGCATGTGACTTGAATCTTGCAATATGATGAACTCTAAATCTGCAATAGTAGTATTGGGAAAAATTTTAAATAGTGTATTCATGACCATAAACTGGAAGGACAATACCTTAGCTGTTGTGGATACATGACTGTAGTACTTGAAAGGTTAAGCTGCAGTATCAAATTACTGAAAGCAAGAAGTTCTTAAGAATATTTATTTACAAGGAGGTTGCAACATCTTTAATGTTGTTTGTGATGCCCCTGAAGTTCTTGATATGGTCCATCTATGTAGTTTTTACATTTCTTTTTTTGGGGTGGGTGTTGTATCAACCACAACTTGAAGAAAGAATTATTTGAATTCTCCATAGATGACCTAGGCCTAGATTTTGCTCTTGTGCTGATATTGATAATACCATAGGATATTAGTTGGTTTACCTTTTGGGGGATCATTGGGTTCCTGTAAGATGAAAAATGTTTACTCGATAAGCAGATGAGATATTTATTCATTGGTTAGTTGAATGGAAATTGTTACATTTTTATTTCAGGATACCATTTGAGCCTTGGGAATGCTTTGCAGGCATGACCTAGGTCTACATGGTTGAATAGTTTCCTTCTCAGGTTGTATCAATTTAATGTTCAAATGATATGGATGAGAAATTCCTTGATATCAACTTGGCCTCAGCAGAAGAGCTTGCAACTCTCAAAGGAGTAGGCTTACTACGAGCCAAAGCCATTGTTGAAACAAGGACTGTGAGTTCCTCCCTTTCCCTTATTCTAAACTTCTCATATCCTCTTGAATCTATGTGCATGATGGTGTTTTAGGAATATTTTAGCTGCATTTCCATGAATGGTTGTTAATTGTTTGATAATGGTTGGCCTGCTTTCCTTTGTTCTATGTTTACATAACTAGATTTTCTCCTCCAATGCATAAATATTAAATAATGCAAAAAGTAAGAAGTCCAGAAATCTTAGGATACAAGAGGATATGCATACTTATAGACTCACTCATCATTCTGTTGTGTTGTAATTGAAATATCTATTTTTAGAAAATCTAAGACATGATTATGTCTCCTCCATATCAGTCCCTTTTTATGAAATCCTTGTACGTTGCCCTTGTGGTAAGCATCTATCTTTTTATTTTCTGAGTATGTTCTGGGTGAATTAGGGTAAGTGCTACGAATGTCACCACTGGGGGTAATCTCAGCACTTTGCAATTGTCAACATTCTGCTTCCACTGCCAGCCCCTAGGCATGGATAGACAAGTATTCTTAGATGGTTGGACCAGTAATGTAAACATGTGCTAGGAACAGCTTTATTTGCTCTTGTAGTTTTCTTGCAGTGGCTGCCTTCTCTAAGTGCACTCCTAAAATCCTGCAAAATCTTGTGATTATGCTTAGCTTTTGACATTCCATTCTTATCTTCCATATTAGGTATTGTTTTATTAGGTCACCGCATTTTTTTTTGAGTCAGTTGTAAATGACAGTGACATATTGGTATGCCGAGTAGACTAGGAAAACCCTTGCAAAACTGCAAGCGAGGTTTGTGGGAATGGAGACGCACGGGCAGGTGGTCTGCTTACATTTTCTTCCTGGATAATTCCAATTTGTCGCCTCAGGTACACGGGAAAATTTTTTTTCTTACATTGGTACCAAGCATCCCAATAGGGTGGCACTGACTATGCCTGCAAGTGTGCTGAGATTGCCAACATCTGACCCAACTTCACCTTTGACTCAGTCCCTCGGGAAGCAGAGGCCCAGGGTACTTGAGGTGTGCAATACCAGGAGGTTTATAGTAATGTTATGACACAACCCAATGTGAACAAGAAAGCTCCATTACAGAAACCACCAGGCAAAGAGGAAGGAAAATGTTTTGCTTAATGTTGACATTTGCAAGACTCATTCTATTCTGTTACTAGATGTTGTCTATGTTTGGAATCCATCCATTTATCTCCCTATGATATTTTAAGGCTCTGAATAGGAGTGAATTATATGCTGGAACCTTGGAAGCTCTTTAGGCACTTCAATATCTAGAGGTGAGATGAAGAATATAACACCATAAGTAATACTACAGAGTACCTTGGCTTCTTTTCAATGATCGTATTGCTTATGAAATTAATTCATCCCCTCTTACTTAGTCTCACAACAGCCCACAGGGATCCATATGAGGAGATGGGGAAATTCTTTTAGTAGGCACTACAGCTTGCTGCTGTGGGTTGTAGGCCAAGCATAGCCTTTACACCATAGAGATTAAAAGATATTCCTTCATAAACATTACTCTTCTTGTATGTGCTTGTATTTTCAAAGCTTCATTTGTGTACATGTAAAATTTTTATTGAATCTATACATTTATTTAAAAAATGATAGTTTTCTTCATGAACTGATATGAAGTGATATGAAAAGCAGTCATGTCAAGTCATATTTGTTATGAGAGACACCAGCCCCTACCAGTGTTTGTCACTTTTTAAATCTAAAGTGAATGTACAAGCACACTGTAAACTTAAGGTGTTTTAAAGGCCTCTCTGCAAATTACTTTGTTTTCAGTTTCCATTGTTTCATCAATGATCCATCTTGAGGCAGGTCTGATTGGCCTGCCTCAAGACATTACAATTGCATTTCGTTACTTGGAAGTGTAGAACCTACCATAAACCTATTTTATTCTCCTTGCAGTGTCTTGGTGGGTTTACATCTGTGGATGACTTGAATCTGGTGGCTGGTGTTGGTGGGAATGTGATTCAACAAAATAGGCATGCATTGGTATGCAGTGTCCCTGGCCCATCATCTGATGCTCAACCACCCTTCGTAGGATCCTCCAGGAAACGGTATGCATAGGCTTCTGTCCCCATTTATTGACAACAGCTTGGTCTGTCTTGCCATATGTGGAATGAAAACTCCAGTAATATGCTTAAGTTGCAGCCGAAACCATTCTGAGATACATGACATGGCACATCCCTTACCATATCATAAGCAATGGCTTATGTTATGAGCAGGGACAAGAGGTTTTCCAATGAAGATTATTGCCAGACACAAGCAAAACATAAAAATGTTGACTGGTACTACAAAAGGCCTACAAAAGAGACTGACTGGTTAAAGAGAGAAATCAAATTTTCAAACTCTGCTGCAATGTTTTTTATGAAAAAAAATGGAATGATTAACTTAAAGGCTGTAGAATTCTGCGCAGACGCTTTGAGGCACTTGGAAATATATATGCCTGATAAAAATAACTCCTGCATCCTCTTTTCTTTTCTTTTTATTGCAATCAATGGGAGACTCATCAGTCAATTGTAGCTTGGGAAATCACTGAACTAGGAAGAAATATGTAGATGCAGCATGCTGTTTCTTATGCAAGCTAGGATTATGAGAGTGATCCATTTAGAAGATTGTAGACATTTCTCATAGACTTGCATTGAATTTTAGGGGGCCTCCATTCCCCATTGGTGTCATCTACAGCACTAGATATTTCTCCTGTTTCTATCAGGTCATCCCATAAGTAATGCGTTTTTTTCGCATTGCAAACTTGTGTCTTGTTTATACGTGTATCTCTGTACATCTCATGGGATATTTCTGTGTTAACTTGTGTAGATGTTAGTCTTCAGTCTACATGTAGGTTTTAATGAGTTAACAGCACTCTGTTTTTCTTAGACTTTAAAAACAAGATGGAGGTGTCAGATGAACACATTCGGCATATAATGCATTATGAATTTAAGATAGGGAATAACGCGACTGCAGCCATGAAAAACATTCAATATGTTTTTGGTGAGGAAGCTCTAAATGTGAGGAAATGCCAACGGTGGTTCCAGAAATTCAGATCTGGTGACTACAACTTAGTCAATGAAGCGCGTTAAGGCCGACCTGTTGAGTTCGATGATGACCTGCTGATAGCCACACTTGAAGAAGATGCTGCTGTAACAGTGGAAGACCTTGCCCAGAAACTCAGTTTGACCCATTTCTCTGTTCATTGCCGCTGGGAAACGTCCGGACAGGAAACTACAGGAAGCAATGGCTGGGAAAAGTGTTAAAACTTGGAAAGTGGGTTCCACTGGTGTCGTCACCATACAGTCTTGGAGGTCAGGCAAACATATGCACTTCACAGCATTCTCGTGAATGTCAAGCACCGTTTTTGAATAAACTCATTAGCTCATTAGGGATGCTTTTGCACACAATGTGTGTGATGATATTGTTTCTGGGTTGACTTTAACCCACCTACTCCACTTCTCTGGTGCTGAAGTGTGACACCTATTGAAAAGAGGTATACTGATGAGTGAAACTAATGGGTTGACAACCCACCATTAGCAAGGGAATTGCTGCTGCACAACTTGCCAGTCTATGGAAAAGGATAAACCACATTTTAACATGGATAATAGTCAATCTGGAATTACTGTGTAGCTGCTATTGATTGATGATTTAGAACTTTTACATTCTTACAGAAGTTGAACAGAGCAAGCCATATTTTCTTTTTGTGCATTAGCCCAATGCAGAAATTTGAGAAATGAATCAGGAATAGCTAAGAAAAAAAATATCCTGTTGCTCTTACTCATTTCCATGTCTTCCATATCCTGCAGAGATGGAAGAAAGCCCCAAGGTGAAAAGAAGGGGAGTACTCCAGTTCCTAACAGGAGAAAGGGAGAACATGGGAGTTCCTCCAAGTCTTCCACACCACCACAAGAACGTCGCTCATCCCGGGCCTCATCCAGATCATCCAAGAAGGCTGGTCAAGATGAGGATGATGATGTTGGCAGTCCTATAATGTCTTCCTTGGAGACCCCTGCTGACAGCAAGATCTGCATCTGGGATGCAAATAATGAAAGAATCGACAATGTGATGGGTATGCAGGATTCAGAGTATGCGGATAACTGTGATAGCTTGAGTCTGCTGTGTGATGCAGCAGATCAGTGCTCCAGGGATTTGTCTGCTCCTGGTTCTGACTCCCATCGGACAATGAGTGGCTCTGAAGATGCATCTGATGCTTGGTCTGATGACATTGAAGACACTCCTAGTGCTGAAGAAATATCTGGCAAGATGAGGAAATTGAACTCTGGCGAGAAGGTGTGTACACCATATTACCAAAATCTTAACTATATGTTCTTCACTCCCTTTGTGGAATGCTGTATTTGGCTAATTTTTTTGCACTGCCTCATTCTTGGGTTTCAAGGTGTTGCTAGGTGATATCTTTCTTGTTGAGATAAGTTAGCATACTCATCTTGCAACAGATTTTATGCACCTAGTACAATTTTGCAGATGGTATTATAGACTTGATAGGAATTCCCATTTAGGCCAAGAATAATTTTTCAATGAAAAGTCTTTCTGCTTGTGACATTCAGTTTTTATGCTGATCAATTAATAGGGAACTCAAATTTGAATTGATTTTCAAGCTTTTTTTTTTTCTTTTTTTCTTGTTCAAGGCAAAAGCATTTTCATGATGAATATCAGATTGATAAATACTTTTTTCAATGACAGGATCATAAGCAGGAGGGCCTTGGGAATGATCTTTTTTTGTGAAGGCATACCATGGTTCAGTAGGCTGCTTGAAGACTAGGAGAGGCTTCAGGCCCTTCCATATGAAGAGTTTGATGTGTATATATGAAAAACCTATTCCCAGTATTGCTTGCCTTAGCTGAATCAAACTTTCTTCCAGGCAGCTCCATGTCATGGAGAAAAGTGAATGAAGAGAGCTGGGTTAATGGAAGGACTCTTTCATTGGAAATTCAAAGGGAACATCATGTTTTAGTTTTAATCAGAATGGTAATGAAATTGGAGGCCCTGTCCTGCTTTGAAGTTGTCATCAGATGACTTTATTAAGTAATATCTCACTAGAGGAGCTGAAATTAATTGTGAAAAAAGATGTATGTTTATGCTCTGCTGAGAGGGTGAATTTCCATGCTGAGTTGTTTTACTGTTAGAGATAAAAAAACTGCATTCTACTAGCAAGTCAGAGCAATCTCCATTTTTATTATTTATGATTTGTTTCTCATTCTTGCACAGGTCAAAGTGGGAATGGGGGACCAGGGAGAAGTGAGTATGAGCCGCAGCGTTAGGAAAGGATCATTTCGAGTTGCATCATCTCAAGCCATGTAAGGACTGGTATTACTACAATTAACCTTTTCTGTCTTTGATTTATTTCAAAATAATAGTGTCCCTCAACTTTGTTAGCTTTCAGTTGTTTGAGTTGAGTCACTTCTGGCTTATACCTTGGATCATTGCTGTCATTTCCTCATGCATTACTTACATTATAATTAATAGGGATGGAGGGGACTCAGTGGCTGAGAAATCTTCAGAGGATCACAAAGAGCCTGTGATCAAGCAGCTATCTCCTGATATCAAAGTTCCAGATGGTCTTGATGCATGGCTTGCTACTTTCAAGGTAAGGTATATAATTTCCTGGTTTGAGCTAATCCTGGTTGAACAATCAGCAATCACTATTACTTAGGCTTTCAGCCATTTTTGCTTCCACAGGTATGATAATCTCAAGGAAATTGGAGTTGGGAGACAACTATGTTCAATTATCCCTTTCCAAAAATAACCCGAGCCATGAAAGGTGAAGGCATTTGCCTGCACAGATCTTGAGCCCCAAGGCAGTCTCGCCCTTCTTGGCCAGACCTTGTCTCATTCCCCTTCTTGCTATGATGCAAATTCAATCAGAGAAGGAGGTACATGTGTAGCTCTGCCTCAAATGAGGCTCAGCATTTTGGGCGATTTTCTCATTCACAGCTGGGGATAACTTACTGGACAATTTTTTTTTTGGAAGATGTTATTTGAAGTTTTTTCTGAATAGAGGTAAAATGAATAATTTAGTTTGTGGGAGATAGAATTAATGATTTTGACTTGAGACATATCCTTACTAATCTCTTAAGTACAGATTTTCATTCCTGTGGCCTGTAGTTTTTTTCTATAGATTCCTCCAAGAATAAAGGATGCTCTTCCCAGCATCTCCTTCAGTTATGTCTCTTAAACTATTTCTGAATGTGCCACAGGTGCTGAATTTTTTCCATTGTGAATTTGTTTTTTTCTGCACTGATCTCAATATGGGCATTCATTCTTGTGGGAAGAGACATCCCCAAGTCTATATCTTATACATGTTATGGACGTGATGGAAAACTTCAAATTTTTTATGGTGTTTACATCATTCTTGGATATTTAAAGTAAAGTGTCATTCTCAGCTTTTAGCACATTCCTCAACTTGTCTGGTCATATCTCTGAGTATGTAGTGTTAAGACTTATCTTTTAACCCTTCAATTGCTGAGTTACTTTTTGAGGTGGTATCTCCTATGCAACTATATTTTTGGGTTTTAGTTTGTTTTATGAAAGATGGTATTAATTTGAGCATTGTGTACTCATCTTAATAGTGAGGTGATGAATTGATGTTACATGAATGCCAATTGACTAAATTTACTGACTTTGCATTATAGGCTAAGAATGGTACCTCCTTGAAGTGGCTCCAGTATATATACCGTATTTACTCCAGTATAGTGCGCCACCGTGTATAAGATGCACCCCCGCTTTTGAGGTCCCAATTTGTGTATAAAAAAAAAGATTCCCCGCGTATAAGGTGCACCCCCCTATTTTGTAGCGAAAAGTGTCGGACAAGGGAGATGAATAAGGGGTAAAGCACGTATGTACCCCCCTATTTTGTAGCGAAAAGTGTCGGACAAGGGAGATGAATAAGGGGTAAAGCCTGTCTTGAGGTAGGTCGAACCTCGTTTCTTATTCACTGTCCTGACCTTTATCGAGGGGGGGGGGCACAGCATCCCTAACGTTTGTCTTATTATCCGTGAAAACGGATGGAAATATACAGCGAAATAACACAGCTGCAGAGAAATCCATGTGATTCGGGAAGCGAAGGAGCTGGGCATCCGCGCAATAGGTCATAAGTATGACATCGAGGAAAGTTGTATACAGAAGCGGATGGAGGCAAAGGCGAAATTAAGCCCGGCTCTAAAGAATCTCATGGCCTTTCATGGGGAAAAAGGAATAATTTCCGGTAATCAAGAAGGGAGTGACCGAGAGTGATGGAGACGCGAACCCATATGATTTTGAGAGCAAACGGGATCTCCCATCGAAAATTCAATGCATCATGAGGTTGAACGACGTGATTCATAAGCAAGTTGGATTTTCTGTTCGTCGGAAAACGTCAGCAGCTTTCCATGAGAAATTATTGTCTCTGGAACGGCCCCTCGGAGGAGGATGTGAGCTCCACGAATCAATTTTCCATGCCGCCAGACACCTCAGATTCCGATTCCGATACTGAATGAAGTCCGCGAATCGACGTAGCCACTCCCCGTTTACTGTTTTATAATTATTATATTTCTCCTGTTCTGACTGACTGCAGACAGTTTCCGCCTCAAATTAGCGACCAATGAGTTATAGATACGCTGAAAATTTTTTTCTCGAAAAAGAGAATTTTTTCGAGGATAAGATGCACCCCCTCATCGAACACAATAAAATATGCCAAAAAAATGCGCCTTATACACGAGTAAATACGGTATATATATATATATATATATATATGGGCATAGCAGTGGAGGTCTTAAAACAGTCCTGTCAAAGCCATTGATCTTCATGGTTCCCAACTCCTATGCTTTTTTAAACATTTAAACATGAGAGAAATTTGAGGATCCTCATGAGATTTGATTTTGGCACAAACAGTGTCCCATGATGTACACCTATTCTCAGCAAATTACTGAATGCCTCCTTTCTTGCAAACTTTCATGCAGACTCAGTGGCTTCTTGACAGTTTACTGGTGTTTAATGAGTATCATTTTCCACAATTTTCTCAAATTTTATGCCTGTGAGGCCCACAAGTGCATTTTTACCCTCCACCATTCCTGATGTTCATTGTTGACTGGGAGAGGACAGAAAAGGGCAATATCTGTTATTTCTCCATTACAGACTTTTGGTTTCACTTGCCATACTAAGCAATCGTGCATGTAAATGAATCATATAGGAGCACTCAAAAGGTTGAAAGTTATGACAGAATTTCCTTAATCTTGATCTTTGAGAGTAATTTTATTGTTAAAAATCAAATACACAGGAATGGTGATTTCTACTTTATTAGCATCCTATATCTGTCATGCAATGTGAAGAATTTATGAAGTTCATTGATGGTTTTGGTTGTTTTTTTTGCAGAAGTGGACTCACAGTGAGCGGATAGCAGCTGTGGATGATCTCATTGATATTTGTGAATTACCTCAGGTTCGGCATATGATGGAAATCATTGAGCCGCAATTCCAGCGTGACTTCATATCTCTCCTTCCAAAAGAGGTAATCAGTCACTTTCTACTGATATTCTCCTTCTGTCAGGGTTTCCATTTATTGATTTGAGGCTGCAGGGGCAATTTATTGAATTCCAATGTAATTGGAAGATTCTATAATATCAAGAAATATCACAGGCCATTCAAGTAATTAAAGCCATGGTATGATTTTTATTTCTGGAACTTTTCAAAGCATAAGAATACTGAAATTACCCTATTTCATGGAAAATTCCCTCTTTCTTATTTCCCATGGAATTAAATGACCAACAGTCATCATTTACAATTGCTTTAATTAGAGACCATAGGAAGTAGATAATTATTCTTGCTTTGATCAATCCAATTAAAATCTCAGCTAAATGACTCATCTACCTCTGATGTCTGATTGGACTCTGTGTGGAACAGTACAGTAGGCCTCATTCATGTATGAGTGAATTTTGAGTATGGCTTTTGATTTATGAAACTTATATATACATGTATTTCTTTGTTCATGTAGCTTTCCTTGTATGTGCTATCCTTCTTGGAGCCCAAAGACCTTCTGGTAGCAGCTCAGGTTTGCAAGTCATGGCAAACGTTAACAGAAGATAACCTCCTCTGGAGGGAAAAATGCCAAGAAGCTGGAATTGAATACTCACGGGATTTCCCTGGTGGGCGACGAAAGACTGCTTCGTCAGCTTCATCTCACTGGAAGGTGGCTTTCATGCGACAGCACAACATTGAATTGAACTGGCGCTCCAGGCCAATCCGACCTCCCAAAGTGCTCAAAGGCCATGATGACCACGTGATAACTTGTCTTCAATTTTCCGGCAACCGTATCGTCAGCGGGTCTGACGACAACACCTTGAAAGTCTGGTCTGCAGTAACAGGAAAGGTGAGTAGAATCCCTTTTCATGATAGCCTCTCGAAGGAAATCCACCTTAGTGAGACTTGGGTCTCAATGCTGGTTGTCCTGCTTTGCTTTTGCAGTGCCTCAGAACATTGGTGGGGCACACAGGTGGGGTCTGGTCATCTCAAATGGCCAACAATATCATTGTTAGTGGCAGCACAGATCGAACTTTGAAAGTTTGGAATGCTGACACTGGCCAATGCATTCACACTTTGTATGGGCATACTTCCACTGTGCGATGCATGAGCCTTAATGGAAACAAGTGAGTTCCTGCTCATACCCTATGTTCCCGATCTCACTGCAGTAGAAAAAATATATAAATTGTGCCTTGATCATATTTTCTTACAGGGTGGTGAGTGGCTCTCGTGATGCTACTCTGCGAATGTGGGACATCTCCTCAGGACATTGCCTACACGTACTTGTGGGTCATGTGGCAGCTGTGCGTTGTGTCCAATACAACGGGAAGCTAGTTGTTAGTGGTGCCTATGACTACATGGTCAAAGTGTGGAACCCAGAAAGAGAGGAGTGTATCCACACACTCCAAGGTCACACAAATCGGGTTTACTCTCTTCAGGTATGGGATAAGGGACTTGCATCTTTTGGACTGCTTTTGCATCTGTCATTTTGAAATCAACCATTTTGACAGTTTCTTTTCTTGTTGAATTGCTTTCCGTATTCAAAAACTATTACAGGACATTCCATTTAATGGCTTGAGTCAAAATCACCTTGCAGTTAGTTATAGGTTAAAACCAACAAAATTTGGACACTGTAAAATGAACTGTCATAAAACTAAGCACTCATGAAGTCATTCTCAAAAACATCATTTTCTAGCAGTGAAGAACTGTTTCCGAGGGAGAGGTCATATATGCTTGGTTTTAAAAACTTTACTGTTTTCACATAAAAGAAAAAGCACTCATGACCTCCGCTGTGTTCTAGGAATAGTGCTATGTCTCTGCGAACAATGGTTTAAGTTTATTTTGAAAAATTTATTTCCTGGAACAGCCAGTGTGTTATCAGAGAAGTGCAGGAATTTTGAGATACATATAAATCTATTGACAAGACATGATTTTACAAAAGCAGGGCTGATTAAAAAAAAGTTCCATCAGTATTCAGTGAGACTGAATAGTGGGCCATTTTGTAATGCTATTAAAATCAGTACAAAAATAAATGAACAAAATTTCTTTACAGAGGTTTCTCCTTTGTTTTACCCTTGAATACTCACTTGGAATACTTAGAGGGTTTTACCCTTGAATACTTAGAGTTTTGTTAGAAATAAGGTCTGATGCAAATTTATATGTTTCTATTAGTATATGTTCAAGGTAGGGCTCCCCAGAGGGGGGGGGGGGGGGGCAATTGGGGCAATCTGCCATGGGCCCCTTGTATCAAGGGGTCTCTGACCTAGTTTTGTCCCAGGCCCCTGGAAATCTCTGGGCAGTCCTGGTTCAAGGAGATTTCCTTGAGTGCATATTGCCAGGAAATGTTAATTTACCTGGGTCATCTTTGAAAATTAGTTCAGAAATTTCTTTCTCAGGGAGATTGTCTGGAATATTCATTTTCAAACCAGGATTTCCTGTTAAAGTCAAGGAATTAGTTGCATGGGGATTCTGGCTAAACAGGTACATGAACAGTTTTTCGCCCCCTTGGTCTACCTCTATTCCTGCTTGCAATTCCACTCCCATCATTGTAATCTTTATTGTCTTTAGTTTCATTTTCAACTTCCATTTCTACATTGCCTTCACTTACACTGCTATCACTGGAAATCCCAGAATCAGCATTTATAAGTGTATTTATTTCATTGTTTAATGCAAAAGTACATGAGTAAAGGCTGAATGGGTTGATAAAGATAGGCACTTTATTTTTTTATTCATTGCTTCCAAAAGTCACATGTGTTGACAAAAACTGCCCTGTTGCATAGAAAGGGATGCCTTATTTAAAAAAATACCTAATACATGTCAGTTACATCCATAAATAGAGGAGAAACAGCATAAAAGGACTATGTTTCAGAGCCCAAGTACATACTCGGGCTACCACTGTAAAAGCGTTGTGCACAGCTTGAGTGTGAACTCAGGTTGACAGCAAAAGGGTTAATTTGCTGTAATAGTGGTTTGATGCAATACTGTTGATGCACACAAGACAAGGTTACAATAAAGAATTTGAACTTTCAGTTTGTGGCTCTTAAACATTTTATAGGAAATATTCGGGATCATGATTTGAATTCTCTCCCAGGGAAATCCTCATAAAGCTTTCATGATTTCATGAATAAATATAGAAAATCAATTATAAAATGAAACTGCTTACCATATTCAACATTCGGGGCTTATTGGTTGTACTTCTTTGTTTGAAGGTGAGAATTCCATCCTAATTTAGAACTTCCATGGAAACATGTGAGATAAATTTAGAACAAGCAATATATATGCATCACAGGTATTTTCTGGTACAGTTTGAAGAATATGCTGTTTTTGACATATCAGGCAATGTCAAATTCTGATGAGAATTTCTTACTCAATTAGGAATCTTGAATCACAGGTTGATATTAATGTTGAGTTGAGTTGAAATTGAACCAAACTTTTGAGGCCACTGAGACGAATTGACTCCATGTCAATCATGAACCATGTTATATGACACAAAAATGGGTAATATGTGAGCTTCACAATTGTGTTGACTTCTCGAATTCACTCCCTGACCCCCATAATGTAGAGATATCTCACTCATTGGAGGATTTAAAGTGATTCTGGGCTGCCCTTGTCAGTTTCTGCAGAAATCATTCATTTCTTCTACTTTCACCCAACTGACTTACTCAATTGTCAATAACTTGGGAATTTCATTATATTATTTAAACTTGTAGGCATATTTACTGATTTTTTGTGTTCCTTTGCACATTGGTTATTACTATCTATAATGGATGAAGAGCAATTTGATCATAACTATTGAGTGTGTTAGTTTTAATGTTATTGGATTCTTTGTAGTGTTTGTTGGTCACACAATATGAATTTTGTATCTCATCCTCATTTGATGCAATTTACTGATAACAGATGCCTTGTGCTTATCAATTTATGTTTATAATTAAATCCTGAAGTGACTTTGTATCCACACTGTATATGTATCCTAAACTCAGCCTGCAATTTTGACCTAAAGGAATTCTTAGCCTGCTGTAGCTATCTCTCAAAATTTGAAATATATATTAATTTTACCTAAATCAGGAATGTACAAATCCTGTAGGTTTTGATCACTCTATTTGATGCACCCAAACTATACTCTGAATTCAATTGTGTTTTTTAAATGAACTGAGACAGATGTCAGAATACTGAATGAAGCTTTCTTTTAAGAAGTACATATAAAATATAGGCCTTGCCCTTTCAAGCTTGCTGCTTCATTCTGATCTTAGCAATGCTATAAATGCAACATTTAACCAAGACTTGTGCATGTTGAGATTTTGCTTGGAAGAGATAACTCACCTCAGCAAACTTTTGAAACTCCAGTGTACAGTTGCTCTTGGCATGAACATTTTTCCTATTGAAAGAAGCTGGTAATCCAGGTAAAGTACTTATTAGCAAATGAGAGCTTACCAGCATTGAAGTATGGAATTAGGTCTGAAAACTTCCATGAACTTGTTGTGCTACTCTGCAATTGTAAGTGTCTTTTCTCATGCTGAGGCAGACTTTTTCTATATTATTAAAAGTGTATCTTTCTTATAATTTAGGCATTACCAGACTTTAATTTATAAGCAAGGCCTCATGGAGCTGTTTATGATAGACATGGCAGGTACAGCACTGCTTTAAGAAGGATGTCAGACAACTATACAAATTTGGATTTATTGCAGTTTGATGGAATCCATGTGGTGAGTGGCTCCCTTGACACAAGCATTCGAGTCTGGGATGTGGAATCAGGCCAGTGCCGTCACACATTGGTTGGTCATCAAAGCCTAACATCTGGCATGGAATTGAAAAACAATACCTTAGTGTCAGGGAATGCTGATTCCACTGTCAAAGTGTGGGACATCATTACAGGCAACTGCCTCCAAACTCTTTCGGGTGAGTCCAATTCTTTGCTGTGATCTTTCTAAAATGTTAGGTAAAACTTTTTTTCAGGAGCACTATGGATACCCTTAAAAGATTTATGTTGATATTTTTCACATTTACCCAACTTCAAAAATAATATAATGAGCAGAAACCTAAAAGTTTCCTACAATTTCTTCATTTGAAGCAAGTGATAACTTATTTATGCCTCAGTTCTCATACAAAGCATTCTTTCCTGCATCTTTCTATATTTTAACATAGGTTTACTTTTAACAGGTCTTTATGGCATTGTCATTATTTTTTTTGTTAGACTGAATCACAATGAACATATTAGAGAAGTTTGCAAGTAAGCAAGCACCAAGTAATAAGTTTGTATTCCATGTGTTGCATTCCAAAGATGCTCCTGGTTCTGCATATAAAATTAGTTAGAAGTACCTGATAAGACAGATTTATCTAGTTCCCAGGAGATTCTTAGGATCCTTTTTTTCCCTCTCTAGGTCCACATAAGCACCAGTCAGCTGTGACATGCCTACAGTTCAACAAGAACTTTGTGATCACATCATCAGATGATGGGACTGTGAAACTTTGGGATGTAAGGACAGGAGAATTCATTCGTGACCTCGTGGCACTTGAGTCTGGTGGATCCGGCGGTGTCGTTTGGAGAATCAAAGCATCCAATGTCAAACTTGTTTGTGCAGTGGGCAGCCGCAATGGTACTGAAGAAACAAAGCTCTTTGTGCTTGATTTTGATGCCGAAGTGAAGTGACAAAGTGGCTGAGCCAGGAACCATTAGGTGAGCTTTAACTTAATTGTCTCCCTTGGGTCATTTCTAATTATGACTCCGAGCAAAGTCCTTGATGGCACTGTGCCAGCAGCTCTCATGGCCCAAGAGGCAGACTTTTATTATCATCTGGATATGTTGCTCGTTTCTTGCTCTCCTCATTTTGCTTTCATTGGGTTCATTGGATGATCTAATTTGTCATACAGGGTCCCCATTCTGTCGTGTATTTACCTGTGCCAAAGTCCACAGAAGTTTTTTTCCTCCACCTTTGCCCCCTTAGCTTCTTTATCCAGTGTTTTAATTTTAAGATTTCATATGCCTATAACTTCCAAAAATTGTTGGCAATTTCATTCATGTGCTCCATCCAAATGAGTATGAATTATCAAAACCTCTGCAATGGAAAATTGTCATTCATGTCTGTGGAGCACCCTAGTGACAGGGGCCATTTCACCTGGATAATGAGTAAAGAATAATTTCCCAGGGATGTATAAGTACTCTTCAGAATTTCAATGTTCAACTTGATATCAGGAGATGGAAGATTTATTGTTAACAACAAAAGAAATTAAATGAAAAATTTATGAAATGAAAAATGAAAAAAAATTTAAGTTCACGCTAATAGGATAGAAGGATAGATAGCAGATATTTTAACTTCACTCGTAAGTTTGCAGTATTTTTAACTATTTTTATTGTACATGTGCCAGACCTTTACTTGCTTTGTTTTGAATCAAAGTGAGTAAAGGTATGGCATATTTTACTTAACTCACTTTGAATAAAAAATCAAAGCAAATGAGGGTCTGGTATATTTACCAAAATGGCAACCAGCAGGAATTGCTGGTCATTGGATATCATTAGCATAAATCTGAAAATTTTTGCCAAGCATGAGGAGGATATTCCTAGTTACTTGAATTGGGAGACAGTCCAGACCACTGTCAACCTTGACAGACAAGGTATTGCTGCGTTTTTGCTCTTCCAAATTCAACCATTCAGGTCTTGAACTTTGATGTGACCAAAGAACATGTACACAAAGGCCACTGGATGGCATATCAGCAAACAGTTAAAAGGTCAAAGTTTGATGAGTTATTCCCAGGTCAGAAAGGACAGATGGGGCCCCAAGAGAGGTGACATTTGAATGAAAGTAACCCATATACAACCTGCTTCCATGGTTATGTTTAAATTTAGCCTTTCATCACTTGGTCAAACCACTCCTATGAAACTTGGGTTGCTCCTTCCTCCAAAAGCAACATTACATACTCATTTGTGAAAAATTAAAGAAACTGTATAATACTGCAGAGCATATTGGCAATCTTCAAGATCATTTTGCATGCCCTGGGTAATCATTCTTATACTTGTTGGGTGCATTCATTGGTGACTCAGGGACTTGACACAGACAAAGAATGCATTCTATCAAGAAGAAAACTTGACCTGAGTCATGCGATTTGACCCAATCTCAGAGATCAAATCAATCATGCTGAGTTGAATCAAACATTCAAACAAGCCACACCCAAGGTAATGAGTTGCTCAATTAGACTGTGTCACAACTGAATGCACCTGTTGAGGTGAGGCAACTATAACATTCCAGGATGTTAACCCCTGCTCCCCAAAAGAACAATATAATTTAATGGGTTCGCATCACCGGTAGCATTTCTGCTTTTGAAAATAATTATTAGTGGAATAATTTTTAACCATACCTCACAGGAAGCAAGTTTTCCTCTGTTTGATATGTGGTTACTTTCCATGGGATCTTTTCTTCCAGATGTGCTCTTTGTGATATTTTTGAAATCTTGATCATCTCTCATAAATTGTTCTGAGTGGAGTCTCATCTCCTCCCCATGACCTCTTTCAGTGTTATGTTCTCAAGCACATGTGACCAAGCACATTCATATTTGGGATGATGATTCTCAGTACCTTGCATCATATGATAATGGGATGTGGGGACTGCTGGAAATATTTCATCAGAGTCCTTGGATGTGGTGGAGTTACTATAATTCTGGAATGTCTCCTTGGTAAAAGTGCAACACTTGAAACAATACAACAGATTGTTGTGAATTTTTCCTGTTTCAGATGACAGTTTCTCTTATGTAATGGGGCTCACTTCCATCTTTTGTGAATTGAATGACCATCTTTCTCACATGTATGTTCTGTCGATCCCCTTTGTTTCTTGTGGTCCCTGTATGTTAGCTCCTTTCACTCCTTGCCTCTGTCATGTCTCCTTTGTATGGTACCCTCGAGGCCACTAATCACAGAGACAATGATATTCACAAAACTTCTCGTAGGTTGAACAGTTCCAGATGACACTGTTTTAGTTCTGATGTGTCTAACCTTTTCCTCATCGCTGGGTACATAATCAGCAGTTTTCAGTCCACAATTGGATTGTTTAGGACTAAGACCTCTCATCTCAGCCACAAGACTGTCATGTTTTCTTAATGTGCAAGTCTGGTGATTGATGGTCTCGAGAATTCTTTTCTACAAAGGCATGGCCACTGGGTACTCAAGAAATGTGATTTCTTTTCCCCATACTTTGCTTTAGCAATAAAAAAAAAACTCATTGGCAAGAGTCTCTTTTCTTGAATTATTCCTTCATAGTAACATCTTGTTGAGTGGAGTTTGTGTTTCAGTGAAGAGACAGTATGTGCTGAAATACATGTATTCTTATAGAAAACTAGTGGAGACTGAAGTAGGAAGCACAAATCACAGATGGAATGCATCGAGTCGAAGAGGCATAGGGAAATTTGAAAATAAAAATAGGACATCTACAGGTATGAGACTCGAAAGCCCAGAACATTGAAAGACTCAGGACTAGGGTTGTGCACTTTGTGCGTGGCGGTCTGGGAATCTTGGAGATCTCACCTACCATTCTCATTTCTTTGGCACGGTTCATGCAGGAAAGGACTAACGTTTTTTGTACTGTAAAGGAAAAAAAATTTCGTGGAGTCATGGGAGGGAGGGTCTGCGCCTACCAGCTAGCCTGCAGTTTAGGGCGTGCGTTTTTGCGATTGGGTCCTTATATCTTCGTGGGGGGATGGGGACTCATGAATGGGAGGGAGAGGGCGTTGAAGAACAAGCCGTCGAATGGAACTGTCCACTCCAGCAGTTTCAACGTCCTTGGACTCCGTCTCTAAACATAAGGGTTCACTCATCGTGCTGGCTTGGGGATTCTTGGATGGGAGGGAGGAGGCGTTGAGGAAGGAGCTGTTGAGTCGGCCTCAACAACTTCAATGTCCTTGGGCTCAGTCTCCAGACGAGACGTTGCCTCAGTCGACTTTGACTCGGACCATCACTCTCGTAACTCTCGACCACTTCTCTCACTTTTCCATACACCTCCAACAATTCCTCCTTCGACGCCTAACCAATCCCAGAGATAAAGGGGGATAACAAAAGGAAAATGGCTACGAAAAGTGACGATGGGGCAATGACCAACCTTGCAGAATTCCTGCAGTTGGAGAAGGGGGGAGAGTGCAAGGATTCCTTGAGATGGGCCAGATCCTTTCCTCAAGCTCTCTTCGACCGTACAACGAAGAAGGGCTAAGGCTAAAACGCTCGGTCGGCTGCTGCTTAATCTCCCATCGCAACAGAGGAGCTCCATTTCGAGACTCAACTTCTTCACATCCAGTCGCCAGACACTTTCCGGAACACCTACAGGACAATAACAACTGGACTGTTACACACGAGACCGGGAGCGACGAACTTCGATATCAGCAAAAAAAAACCTGAGCGAACGACCTTGACATTGGAAAGTAAACACGATTCAACCATGTGGTTATCTGACATGGAATATCGCCAGGGATCCCTATTGCCGAGAGCCAGCATGTGCGGCACGTAGGCTGCTTCCCATGGGAAATAAAACAGGTAGAAATGATGTCATTATCACGCACCGAGTGCCTGGGCGATGATGGTATGGGCGCGATGGAGGAGAACGAGCATGGTGAAGGGGGTGGCGACGGTATTGTTGGCGGAGTCTGTCGGGACGAATCCCAGCTTGGCGCTGACCAGCCGCGCCATCCGCTGGACGTCCCCGGCCGTGCACCGACCCTGTGACATCCTCACCAGATCCCCGGGATCTGGCTGCACGAACTCCTCTCCGTCGTCATCCTCTTCTCCTTCGTCATCGAACTCCGAGGACGACGAGGGCATGGCTTTGAGGGCGAGGCTGAAGCAGGCCAATGCAATGCACGACAGGTGACGGGGTCGGGCCTGTCAACAGTCAATCGAAAAATTCCTCTCTTATCATTTCATTCTCCTGGATTTGATGGCGTAAGTAAAACTTATGAACTAATCCCAACGCAGGAAAGGTTTATATTTTTTATTTAAAAAATAGGACAAAACACATTAGGCCTGCCTCGGCAACATATTCACTAACATAATGGAGCTTGATCCCAAAATTGATAGCAGGGCAATAATGGGAATGATGGAGTGGAAAAAATTAGCAACGATTGTATCGACGAAGTGAAAAAGCTATTCATTCGAAAATGCGGCACGATTGTATCAGGAAGCTGATGTGAGCAAGCTTTTCATTCGATCTCATACTGGTGATGGAATGGCAGTGATGCAGATGGAAAAAATTGCCGAGAATCCTGCTGCCAGCCTAGATGTCCTTGCATCTCTAGCCCTGGCTTGATTGCTTTCTTCGATTATCAGACGGATCGTAAGACACTAACCTCGATCTCGCAACCTTCCTCCTACCAGATTGCTATCAATGTGCAAGAAAAACACGTCTCGTGCGTTATCTATCCGATGTCAAAAAAATTTTTCATTTCCCAAAACGAGAGAAACGCGGCTGGTGAGGCAGGGAATCCTGCGACTGGTAAAATAATGGAAGAGAAAGGTGTTTCCCCCTTTCCCTTCCAGAATGAGATATCTTTATTCTCCTCGCACGAATGAAAGACCTCCTTCGCTACTTTCTGGACGTATTCATCTTCAGCATTCGGGCCGGAATAAATGCATGAGACGTTGCCACCGCCGACTCACGCCTCAAACCGCGAACGAAAGAGATATATCCCTTTCAACCGCTTCTCCCACGATCTTTCGTGTCATTCCATATGCGGCCACGCTGCGCAAGGACAGGTGTCAAGAACGAGAGAGGTGTGGGGGTTCTCGTTGCCCAATCGAGAACGAGGTCTCGTGTTCCCTGAAACGGAACAGCCGTGATATCGCAGAGCTGCGACCGAGTTTAGGAGGAATGACGTACGAGGATCGGAATCGGACATTCCAGCTTCGTTATATCCGTTCCATCTGTCGTCTCGTCATCACCAGGTTCTATCACGATGAAAATGGAGGGGAGATAGTAGGTCTCCTCTTCAGACGAACGAATTGCCACCGTATCTCCTGGCTCGGAGTGAAACGGGCTCGGCAGAACGAAAACTCATCTCCGGTCGAAGCGACGAACAGGCTGATAAATCGACCGCGTGTGGTGAGAATCTTGCGGCTTTCCTTCGGGCGCATTCGCGAAAGTCACCTTCCGGGATTAACATCTGCCAAATGAAGTAAAACCAGCGAACCTATCCGTGTAATAAAAGGATAATAAGTGAAAGGGGGAACCACGGTTTCCCCTTACGCGTGGTTTGGAAAATTCTCGGTAAAAGCCGCTGAGTGATTAATTTTGGCAACCTGTATTCCTTGAAAAGCGTTTGTAGGTTACACTAAATTCAATAGCAAAATTAATTTCCCGTAGAATTTGCTGTTTAAAAAATTATCCGAGACCATAAAGCTGTGTAACGAACCTTAGCAAACACGCAACTCGAAGTCTGCACGATGGAATTTAATTTTATATTCACAGGGTATGGTCACGTTTCTTGGAGCAAAGAATCTGCTGGAATACAGCGTTACAGAGCGAAACAACGGGTGTACGAAGAGGGCGAGAGGTTTCTAGTACACCGACCATGTGCGATAGGGCTAAAACCAGACGGACCACAAGGACAACACATCGTTCCCGTTTTAGCGGAGGAGGCCATGAAACTTTTTTTTTTCGCTTTTGATTCTCTCATTGTGTGATGGATATGCTCCAGGAACAATGGCCGGTAGTTTGTAGGACGATGACACGTGAACCGAGGACGGCGGGGTCTTTCCCCTCCCCCTGCCCCTTCCCTCTCCCTCGAGAAAAAGGAACAGGTGGAAAGGGGGAGACCTCACATCGTCACCTTCGCTAAACACTTCCGCCCCGTCTGTTGTACATGATACTCCCACTGAAAGAGGAGTCTCTTTCACCTGCTCCTCCCGTGAATCATTTTCGAAGCGTCAATTCGACGAGATTTGATGAGATGACTCATGACCGTTGATGACGGCCAGGATTGCATGCGGCCGTTGGTGACGAGGAGGGGGGGGGGGGCAAATGGCCTCCCTTCCCTCGCCTACTGATGGCGATTTTTGGCCGTTGAACTCACACGCGCACACTCCCTCTCACCCTCACCCTTACCTCTGCCCTCCCCACACGCACACTTCTCTTCCACTTCCCCTTCACCCTTCAGCGAGTACCCCTCCTCGACGAGAGAAAGAAAATTTAGGCCAAGATTGAAGCCGCAGTCGCAGGACACGAGAGAAAGAGGACTTCCCTAAACGGCAGAGAACCATGCGATTCCTTTCACGAGATAACCCAACTATAGGCATACGACGTGCATGGGGTGAAACCAGAAAGCCGAGGATAACTCTCGAAACGAGTGGCAGTGCATGAACGTTGCGCCACGATGAGGCACGTGGCTCCAAAGGCCCCACGTACTCTAGCGTACCCGTCCATGTATGTGCAGTATCCTTGGATCGCTGAGAAGATTGCTCAAGAAGTCCGTCGTAGTCTCTCCGATCTCGTCTGGAAAATCACGACCGATTTATTTTCCGACTTTCACTCCTATCCCTGTCACGACGATCGACATCCCCTATCCACTCATCCCCGATAATCAAATCACAACAATTGCGTACTTCTTTCTTTCACCGTCGCCCCGAGGCGACTCGAGGTCTTTTACAGTGGCTCAGGGTGTATGAAAAAATATTTGCCAATCGCCATTCGTGCATTGCATGCAGTGATGGAGATGTGGAGTGACTGACGTGATAAAAAAATCTGACCAATAGATACTTAAAGATAGTCATGAGATCACAGCTGTCAATTTAAATAACTTTATATTACTACCTGAAACCATTCATAATCGTTGGTGATCGACAGTTATCATGAAAAGGTGTTAGCATAATTTCCTGCCACCCTGTACTTCTGCCGAGGAACCGTAAGACAGGCTGGAATCATCTCACCGCCCCTCAATCATCCCTAACGAGATCACCTGATTCGGAACTGCCTCAACTCTACGTCATCACACGCGATTACTCCACCTCCTCCCCCCTCCAAGGGTTACTCGTTATCCACAGACAACATGGATGGGATGAGTCAGTGCTTCATTGGAGCCAGAGCCGTCGGGGACTCGGCACCTGTTCCTCGATGGTTCGTGCCGTTATATTTTACATGTCATGGTCTCAAATCAGACGGTGAAACTGACGGTGATATTGTATTTATATATCTCCGAAAACAGAGATTTTGGAGAAGTGTTGCCTTGAAAAAACTAGGGGGGTTTGCCTTTCGTATTACCCATTTACATACAGTGAGCTCCTGTACTTGATTTCCTAGAGATTAAAGCACTGGACAATCGATTTTTCCATAGTATGCATACAGTGAGCTCCGGCACTTGATTTCCTTGAAATTAGGCACTGGAAGGAGTGAGGCAAGGACTAAAGGAAGGATGAACCAATCACTATACGTGGTCAAGCAGACGTGTGATGAAGACAAATCTCCGTCGGACTTATTTTTTTCCTGCCTTGCATTATGCAGAGAAAGGGGAGGGACGATAAATAATGAGGTTGGATGGAGTCCTTGAATGAGCCATGCCGTGCCATGACGTCATCCGTGTCCAAGGACCACAGACCAAAGAAGAACCAAGGCCCCCTTCCCTGCCCACGGCCTCCTTCCCCGGGCGGTTGGCATCTCCACGAAGCCACTCGAGCCTCCCACCCGAACGACCATTTTTCACATCGCGAGTGTCATCGTGCATGCTCTTTGGCTGCATGTTTCACGCTCGGGGCCTGGAAAGCGTTTCGCATCCACTGTGTCGACCTTCAAGGATCTTTTGGCAGCCTGCCTCCTCGGCAGCGGGAGGGTTTTTTTTTTTCTTGGAGTCCTGCCAACGACGGCCCAGAACGCACTTACTCCAAACAGGATATATATTATATCCATCCGCCACATCTCTCACCATACTCGATGAGACATCAGTCCACGTGCGGCAGTTACGCAGTCCCCATTCCACAGACACTGAAAAATGATGGGGATGGTAACCAGGCCGAAAACCTATGGCCTCCATGTTTTTTTTTTTTTTTTACCTCCCCCTTTTCTTCTTTTTAGTACTGAATCATGAATTACTAGAAGAAAAATGACACGGAGAGATTGTTGCTGCACGTTTTCCCAGTAGAGACCCACTCCCCCCAAAAAGAGCGGGATGATTCTCATTCAGCGCTCACTTCTGCAGCAACCTGCCGGAAGATCTGGGTTATTGTTATAACGATCCAGAATGGTTCCGGCTGTGCGTTCAAAGTTTCAGTACAGGTTAAAAGCAAAGAGGTCTCGTCATAGTTTGTTTTAACCCTTCAAGACCCGAATTAAAAATATATAAATGGCGTAAAAACTAATTTTCCTCATCGAACCGTCCACAATAAAACGTCGTTGATCACAAAACCAATTTCCAAGAAAAGGTCACAAGGACTAAGAAGTCCCACAAGGCCTCATGGTTGTGTAATCCTGTATTGCTCTACGAAATATGCGAAAATGTGCGGGACTCCTGAGTTCCGCCAGGCCAGAAAGGCATAAATAAGTGAACAGAGCAATTAATTGCAATTTCAGTGCCCGCAATTCTAGAACTGCGGAAACTGCAAATTGCCACAAATAAACTGCGATTAAGGCTCCGGATGACTCGGACCATAATGACTTCAATAGCGAAGAAAATGGCAGGGAAAGAGGAATCAGGCTCATTCAGTTCTCGCTTGCCTCAGAGACACGGATGGCTGTGTCTAGTACGCATTACCCTTGCTTTTTATCGCCCGAGACTGGGCATTCAATGGTAATAGAGGACAATATGAATACGACAGCCATTTCGGTTCGTTCCTCTCATTCCAATTCCGTAATAATAAAAAAGTAGGGCTCTACGTACGCTTTATTTTCGATATTTTCAAGGATCCATGAAGAATCTGCACGGTCCAACTGCGACTGAAAGGTGAAGGTAAAAAGGGAAATTGGCAAAGATCCCTATTCAGCTGAGGACACCCACACTTTTTGGCTTCGGTCAGCACCCCAAAGTTGCCAACGTCCCAGACTTGCATTCACGTGGAAGCATGAAGAA